GGACCATGCTTTTATGCTTTTCTTATCCTTCGCTTCACCTCACCGTAGGACCCCGTAACTTAATTTTGTTACCTAAAATAACTTTTCCATTTGCTTCTAGAAAATATCGAACGGTTTATAATTTGTTTTTGCTGGCAATAGCCGATTCGCGATTTCTTTGGAAATTGTATCCTACATTATGCTTATATATACTTTGTGTTAAGCCTTGGAATGTCGTGCCTTCTTTGTTCGTCCCTTGGTTAGAATAGACCCAGAAGACCGTTAGGGTCTTCTGGCAGCCAGATTCTAATTGCTGTTTTAGTTCAAGTTCCGTGTCCTTTCTATTTTCACTTTCAATGCATTTTCAAACAATTCTTTACTTCCCTCGGGTCACCGGACACGAGGCTTTCTTTAGCCATTAATGTTAGAAAGCAGGCAACAGCACTTAGGATTTGACTGACAATAGGCCTGCAAGGAAAGGGACCAGGCCATGCGCGATGTCGCGACTTTCGGAGCCATAAAGTAACGGGTCCTTCAGGAAGGATCACGAATGTGCGGGTGACCCACCAGCAACCCCCTTTGAGGGAGAGGCTTCCTCCACCGGCAGACCTGGTCGCGGAAGACGGTCCTCCCTTCTTTGGGGGCATCTGATTCGCGGACCGAGGGCCCACCCTCGGTCCTGTCAACCACCAATGGGAAAACCGATTTCCCTCTGGAAACCATGGGCTCCGAAAGATCGTGCATCGCACAAGTTAGTTTGGTCAGTACCAGTCAGTCAGCAAATAACATTCGAAGAGTTCAGAAGAGTTAACCAGAACTATTACAAAATATACAGTCCACTAAAAACACAAGTTCCTCAAGAGATGTGGTTCGTCATTAACCGTCGCCAATTGCGGTCGACCTGTTGACGATATACACTTTGTGTTCCTGGTTAATAATAGTAAAAGATATTCTTGTCCCATTCTACCCATACTATTCTCTACTATTTTCGTATTATTTCTGCAGCGGCCATAGGCAGGTACAAATAGCAATATTTGGCGTGCAAATGGTCAGGAGGGTTTATGGAACGCACATACCCATCGCTACTTTTGAGAAAGTCGTCCTTCGCCTCAGCGGAAGTCTTTACCCATTTGGCGGGGTAAAAAGCAGCCTTCAGACTTAAACGATAACGGCTTTAGCAGCGCAGGCGGGTACCATAAACCCTCGCTTTTCCGAAAGGCCCGCGAAATATCGCGAGCGGGCGACGGCCTGCCACGTGATGTACCACGGGCCCGCAGGAAGACCCCCCAGGGTTCCCAGACCGTAAGCGCGTACTCCCGCGCAGGAAAAGCGCGCGAAATTAGGGGACCGAGAGGTTACCGGGAAGACCCCGAATTGGTTAATGAAGAGGAAAATTAGTTAACCAATCAGGGTGTCTTATTGGCACCTGGGGGCGCTTCCCGAAGACTAGTCAACGCAGCGCGAAATAGATAGTTGGTATCCAGCATTCCGCTAGAATACATCGCGCCGTACTCAATACGTACTCAAATAAATCTCACTCTTGGAAACCGAATATTGGAATTGATATCTACCCTACACTA